TACACTAGTATATGGTAGGCTTAATAAAGTTTTGGTCATTAACATTGATTGGAAAAATTCCAAAAAATTGAAATAAGACATTTTAAATTTTATTTTTAAATGTAATTCTAGTCAAGTAGTCAAGCCGCGCATCCAAGCTTTATCCAAATTGCAAACTTTGTAAATGTTTGCGGAGTAAATATTTTCGTTTTGAGTATACAAACTGAGTTTAAGGTAACCAGTTTGTTGAGTCATGCAATGCACGTGAGCTTGTATCTTTCATTAACATTGTTCAATTGCAATTGGATACCGCTGGCACTCGCTGACTTTAAAATGTTCAACCAACCCGCAACCAGAAAATAGAGGTAAGACCTTTCGTCTAGACACTTGATGATATTTGTTGTAGCTATCTCCTTTGATAAGTGATAATAACAATCTTTCATTCATCGAATAATTTTTGCAGTGAAGACAGGGTAACTACTCGATCATTATTTTTGTCCAGGTCAATTGATCTGAAAAAGAATGCCGTCCAGGATGCATCATTCTCAAATATGGTTGCTAAAATATGGACTTATGATCTACGGCAGTGGTAAGGGCTCCTAATTTGCTCATGAAACATGACCCGTTCAAATCAAAACAGAAGTCTGCTGTGTAATTATACTATATATCAATGAATAATATTTTTCAGAATGTGATGAAGAGTAGTGGAAATGTTTTAATCTCAAGATGAACTACATTCTGACGTCATGGGATAATAATACAACAGTTCTGTTCGCCCTCTCCGATCCCTTTGGCTAGGTGAGTTAGTTTAATCTGAGTACAGAGTATTAAATTGTGGGCTCTATTAATAATAATAATTCTATACAGTTTCATAATTGAAACAATTATGGCCCCTTATCACTTATTGTGGGCAGAGTATGTGTCTTTGTTGATATGTCCTGGTATAAACTTATCTGAGTGACTGCATTAAAATAATTTTTTGTAATTGCAATTGTACTAGAAACTAGTCGAAAGCATTCAAAATGTAATATCAGCTATATGCCTGCATCGAGAAGAAAGCGGCGCGCGCTACTTTGAAGAAATTTAGACGAGTAACATCCGTCAAATTAAGTATTATATGTAATAAAATAGTTACATTGTGTAGTTAGTAGAGGCTCTTACGGGCAAAAAGACGTGTTTTCTGCTACGAGTTTAGAGACCTAACCGCTAATTGGACACAATAGTATGATGTCTAAGGATCGATAATATGTTAAGAAGTATAAATTTGGCCTTATTAGTCAAGTGCTATACCAATGCGCGTTTTAAACTTTGACAGTCTATTACTCTAAGGCAAATAGAGTAATTATATTCATATTTTGTCAGCAATAAGATCACATTATTTTCTATTTAGTGTGAAAATATGAGCTAGAACGGACATAATCTCGCTGAGTTATAGCTGTTTGAAATTTATGATGAACGCGCGGGTGCCAATTGATAACAACTAAATGCTTTTGCGCGTAGTGCGCGTCGAAAATTTGGCAAAAACGCTTGCGGAGTGAAAATATTCAAACTTCGATAAAGTATATGAAGTGGGTACTTCTCGGAAAGGAAAAATTTAGGCAAACACGATGTGACTATTTTTGGGTTGATTTAATACAACTGCAAAAAATTATTCAAACTTCAAGCAAAAAAGTCAAAATTTTTACCACTTTTTTGGATTTTTACCTCAGAACAAATAGAGGGATTTGTTTTATTTTTATACAATCTTGTGCGGCTGTCTTTTAGCTATCTTTATGCAAGTTTTGCCGACATGCCAACAAAATTAACTTGCTCAAAATATCAAAAAACATGGTTTTTTGGCCTATTTTTGGCCCAAAAATCGGTTTTTTGCGATTTTACCCCAGAACAATCAGTCCAATCATCTTGAAACCACTTTCAATCGATTTTACGGTCAAAAATACGTCTAGTAAGGTGTATCTGGGGTCCCTAACGTGTCGAGCAGACAATGCCCGTAAGAGCCTCTACTAAGTAACAATAATATGTCATTGTTTCTTTTATATTGACTCATTTAAACATTTTAATGGTTTACCTCCAGTTTGGGATGTTTAAGTTTTGTTTTGAAATTCGCTTTCTATTTTTATAATAATCTTTTTTGTTCTCGGTATATTTTGATTGTATACTGATAACTCACCCTCATCTAAAACTAAATTTAAGGGGGGGGGGGGGGGGGGGGGGTTCAACCTGATTTTTTTGTGAAACTTGGTTTCGAGATAGCAGTTGACCAACAAACTAAGACCGGTGACCGAACTTTTGAGGGGGTCCCGGACACCAACCGCCAAACGGTGCCCGCGGGGCAGCCACGCCCATATTTGGTCCAAATTAAGCCAAATTAAGCCAAATACCCTGAATATGCCCACAATACAGATTTAAGGTGCTCTACTTGTAGCTAGTGGTCCTCTGAACTCGTATACGAATTTTCATCAAGATTCGACAAAAAATGACTGAGTTATGAGCCAAAAACCATATGACCATATTTGGGCATACGCACCAAATTTGAACGATATTGGCCCATAAATTGGTCAAATATCAATATTTTTAATGAAACCAACTTTATATGGAAGTTAAGCCTATACTACACATTATCTATGATTATCAGCTCAGTATCTACCTAACTGTGGATTCTGTGTTCAAATAATCGCAAAAAAATGAACAAAATTGGCCATATCTCAGTTCGCGATATTTGCAAAACTGACTTCGCTCAAAACAATAGAACTCAATAGGGTTTCAATATTGTTACATGAAATTTTCAGAATCAACGTAGAATTGCATTTCGACCTTAAGTTTTGGGACAGAATTTTGAGTTAGGCCTTTAAAACAATTTGGCGACCAAATTCTGAATTTTGTACTGCAAATTTTGGAATTTGGCCGCCAAATTGTTTTAAAGGCCTAACTCAAAATTCTGTCCCAAAACTTAAGGTCGAAATGCAATTCTACGTTGATTCTGAAAATTTCATGTAACAATATTGAAACCCTATTGAGTTCTATTGTTTTGAGCGAAGTCAGTTTTGCAAATATCGCGAACTGAGATATGGCCAATTTTGTTCATTTTTTTGCGATTATTTGAACACAGAATCCACAGTTAGGTAGATACTGAGCTGATAATTATAGATAACTAGAAAACCCGTGGTCACAGGGAGGAACCTAATAGTATTCTTTGGAAGTCAGTTTTAATCTCCCCACCGAAGATACAGCCAAATAAAATGTTGCTCGTACTAAACACAGCGTAATATCAACAAAACCGATTAAAATGACGTTAAAACAATCATTGCACGTGCACGTGCGTGTAACAATCCTCGTTACTATAGTTACTATGCAACTTCCTATTTTTCATCTAATTTGCACGTGGGCGGTCGTACATACATGATTCTACAAAAAGAATCTTTTGAATTATAGTAGAGATGTGTAGTATAGGCTTAACTTCCATATAAAGTTGGTTTTATCAAAAATATTGATATTTGACCAATTTATGGGCCAAAATCGATCAAATTTGGTGCGTATGCCCAAATATGGTCATATGGTTTTAGGCCCATAACTCAGTCATTTTTTGTCCAATCTTGATGAAAATTCGTATACGAGTTCAGAGGACCAAAAATCTGGATTTTGGGCATGTTTAGGGTATTTGGCTAAATTGGGCTTAATTTGGACCAAATATGGGCGTGGCTGCCCCGCGGGCACTGTTTGGCGGTTGTTGATACATGTTTCGTATCCAAATATCAGAGATATCACAAATATTGCAACTTGGTTAAAAACAATGCATTTAACTGTTTTGGTGGCGCGCGCGCCATCTCAGTCAATTACTCCCATATTTGGTCAAATAGGATAATAGGGACGCAGAATATGCGTCCCTCTAAAAAGTCCGATTCCCTTCATGGTATGCCCCTTTTTCCGCCTTCGGCGGCGCGCGCTTCGCGCGCGAAAAGTGGCATGCAACGTATGTCAAGGCGGTTGGGGTCCGGGACCCCCTCAAAAGTTCGGTCACCGGTCCTAGTTTGTTGGTCAACTGCTATCTCGAAACCAAGCGAGCTCTGGAGAAATAGTGGGCTCCTTGAAGATTCTGGGGCGATTGAAGAAACGGGAACAAGTGATCCTTGAGGTGATAGAAGATATTGAGAGTGGAGAATAAGCGATAAGGAGAATGGATAGACAGACTTAATCTTGACTTTTATTTATTTTGGTACAGGGTTTACTGCATGCCACAATTGAAATTCATCATATATGTGTCACCATAGGATTGGGATGATCGATTGCGACTGATTGTATTTATTTTACACTTTAGTTCAATCGACATTAGACATGACATGTAATTTCCATCTAAATTATAGATCAATGTTGTAGCGCGATGCACTACTGGGTCGGTCGCGCGCGCATCAAATAATGCTTCTCGCAACCACACGTATGCAACCACACGTATGCAACCACACTTATGCAGATCGGCGAGATGCGAAGGATTGACATCGTGAATCAAAGATCAATGCAAACATAGATTAAGAGTTAATGAATAGTGTTATAAAAGATTCACAATATATTTTAATACGCAAAAACATCTGTAAGTAAATATTTTAAAAACAAGCGTGCATTTCTCAAAAGCGAGTTAGTGATTATTATTATCTTGTATTACTTAAAAACTTTAAAACAATCTTAAACTTGTATAATATCGCAAAAGACTGATAAGTGCTAAGAAAAATGTAGTGCACCTCTGTCTTAAAAACAAAGGTCTAAACATTCTTATAGTTGAAATGTATACCCGTTATAAAAATCTCCTTCTTTCAAAAGAGCAAATAACCTTAAATCGTGAGTTTATTCTTGGTTGACGATGTCAACCCATCGCAGAGCAACGATCGACGATGCGAAGCAAGAATCGACGATGCGAAGCAAGAATGCTAGTTCGTGCGGCGCGTCGAAGCGGCGAAGTCCTCCAAGTTTATTCACCTTTATAATGTTTTTTATAAAAATCTGAAAATGGAATGACCACATTTTCAGATTTATCTGTGCATTTCCCTGTGCATGTCTTTGTACATATCTCTGTTTTCTCTGATTTCGTGTATTTCTCTGTAAATGTTTGGATAGTTTTAAGTCGATCTTCCTTAAATCTCTTTGCTGGCATGTTTCGGAATCGTTTTTGATGTTCCACGAAGTTTAGAGCACTTCCACAAAAGATGGGTTTGGCGACCCACTGTACAAGATTCGCTATTCTCTGTGCATTATAGATGTGCTTGATTTTAAGTGCGTTTTTGGCCTTTTCCGCTCCACTTCGGATTGCATCCACATCTCCTATTGCCAAAGCAGTTGCAAGATTCAAGAAAAGAACTTGGACAAACAGAGCGAAAGCAATGAGACCCACCAGTGTTGTTGTTGGGTAAATCATTTCTTGATCGGCGTAATCGTCGTATTCGACTCCAGATACTCCCGCAGATAAGGTCTTGAAGATGGCATCTGCGGATAGTATTTTCCTAAAAACATTTGTGTGGCTCAACAGCATGTGGAATACCACCATAAAGGCGATCAAGAAGAAAACTAACAAGGATAATATCTTTGAGACGAATGTCCATGCTATTTTGAAGAACATGATGATGTATATTCCAATATTCGGGAATACTTGTAGAAGAAGGAGGAGGTTAATAAAGCTGGTTAGAACGGAGAGAGCTCCAATCTTCCAATGAAAAGGGGACATGACACTTTGCGGTTCCAGCACATTGAGAGAAAAGAACAGACAGCTGCCGTATAAGATAACCTCTAAATAGTTCTCAGGGTCAATAAGATAGTTCTTCAAACCTTGTAACCACGCTTTGCCAGTTTCAAGAGGGCTGTTACTTCCACTATCAAGATCTGATCCATTGAAAACATTATCTAGGAGATCCAGAAGCTCAAGAAATAGGCGAATAGCAGACATCATCAAAAGTATGTATCCAAAGATATCACATTCTACAGATTTCTTCTTTGAGCAGCCATCGGGAAATTCATCACAAGTATGGCTAGAATTTTCAATCCAGGATCTAATAGCTTTATCATTTTCCAAAAGTTCAAATGGTTTGATTTGAGTGAACTGGTATCCCATCAGCACAGAGAAGAAGATAAGGTAAAGAAGGAAAGTGAAAATGTAGAAGTAAGTTCTGGCAAACTTTTCCCACTTTGTAACGATCAAAGCTTCTACCACTGGATGTGTGAGAAGATTATGATTCATCTTTGCCATGATCTGGAGCGGGTTTGAACCGTGCTTATAATATCCCGAAGTTAGAGGCTTTCCTGTTTCCTCCTCTTCCTTCTTGTCCCTCTCCTCCTCCTTCTTCGTCTTTTTCTCCTCCTTCCCCTCCTCCTTCTCCACATTGACAGTCACAAAAGGCTCCTTTTCATCTTTTTTCCCCGATTTTTCCTCTTCGCCGTAGTTTTCCAATGCTCCGAAGTCAACGATGACTCGCTGAATGTCTTCATGCTTATTTTCAGAACATTTGCTACTTTTAGTGAGGACAGTAGTTTTAGTTGTGATTATCGATTTATCCAGGATTTCGGATACCAAATCTGGCATTTTAGTTATCATGATATTGATAGAAGTTTTGCCTTGACCGTTTCGCTTGTGATACCTAATAATGTGTTCATTCATTTTCTCAAAATTGTTCACTGCCTCTTTCGTTCGCAATTTTCCAAATATTCCACTGTCTTTTTCTTTTTCCACATCCTTTGTGCCAGGATTTCGCCCAGGATGAACGAAATGAAATGTGTAAGTAAGAGGAGGACATAGCACATGATTTTTTATGATAGCGTGTTGCGGCAAAAGTAAATGGAGTCTCATCGGCTTTGTTAGACTTATTTATAGCACGTCTCGCCTCATCTGGATCCTTAGCTGTGTTCAAGATAATTTCAATCGTGCTATCATAATCCCAATAAGCAGCAGCATGGAGCGGCGTATCTTCATCATCATCCTGCTGTACTAGATCAATACGTGTGTACTTACACAGCTCCTTCACAATGTCTACGTCTCCAAATGCAGCAGCTAGTTGGAGAGGGCCCCACTTTCTTTCACCTTGTTTGTTAACCTCATCGGTAGAGTAAGTGAATTTGTTCTCCAACTTTTCCAGTCTTTCAAGACCGTCTTTTTTGTGACCCCTTTTAACAGCTGTGAAATACTCGGGTTCGCTATCGGTATCATTATCAGAGAGATCAGAGAGATCAGAGAGTTCCGCAGGACATACATCATTTTGACGATATTCATCATATTCACGCGACCCCATCATTTACCAGGACTGCTTCTTTTTTCAAGACTAGCGGTTTAAAATAGAGTTAAGTTAAACTGAATATAGATTTCAACTATCGATACAAAAGGTAAAATAAATAATAGAGGAATTCGATTTTAATTAAGGGATAACTTAAATAATTTTCTATGAATATTATAACTAACGATAGTAATTATAATGAAACATTTAAAAAAATGCGGAAATAAATATAATCAAACTTAGAGTTTTATAAGTATAACTAACGTTAGTAATCAATAAATTATAGCGCAACAGTAAAAAGAATTCAGAAATATAAATCATCAAACTCAGAGTTAAATGCGAGCTAAATGACAGGGGAATGTTCGGATTAGCGGGATTACACGGAGCAATTAGCAACACAAACACACAGTCACATAATTACGAGTGAATAACAAGAGAACCTTGAAAGGAAACAAACATACTGGTGTAACGTCTTAGCCGTGGTACAAGAGAAACAGGGAAATCGTGAATCAGGATCTAAACCTAGACCCTACAAAATATAATAGGTGATCAGTTATCAGTCTAAATATAAAATATAGTATCAATTTATAACAGCTCTCTCTCTCGTTAGATCGGAAAGCACATGTCAAAATGCGTCTCGTTCCCGAAAACGCGCATTTATTAAATGCTAACGCCGCACCGCACTGCACATAGATTATCAGTTCGGCCGGCAAACAACTTTCTGTGAGGCGCAAAATCAAAAATTTCGTGTTTTCACTGTCAGAACTCGAGTGATCTAAAAACAAACTTAGTGCTCCCGGCTAATTATAAACTTGGATTACTGTATAAAAGTTATAATTTAATTAAAAAAACAATTTCTTAAAAACTGGTCATCGTGACTGGTTATTGAAATATCACGTTGCTTACTTGCCATATCTGTTTAACATTTTGTAATTTACCCGAGGTACATCTCTCAGATTTGCTCTTCTAACATTAACATTTTCATCATCAGTTTGCTGTCTAGCAATAACGTCATCTCTAATATCAATCTCAGAAGGTTCATCATTATTATCTCGTAAATTATCTGGCAGTTCAATATCAGGGTCAACTATACCAGGTTCAACTAACGGACTAACATCCTGCTGCTCACTCACTGTCTCACCTCTCACTGAAACAGGGTCTTTGTCAGATACGTTACCTTGTTGAAGAGAGATAATAGGTCTTCTCAGGCTTTGAATGTGATCAGCATGCTTCCTGATGATGCGTCCTTCATGCTCAATATCATATGTGTTGGATGATTCGCCCAGTCTTCGCACTACTGTGGCTGGTCTCCATTCTTTTCCATCAATCTGGACACGTACTGGCTGCTTTGGACAAAATATTCTAGGATTGCTCTGCAACACTTGCTCTTGTTTGTCAGCTTGCAAGTTTTCCACTTTCTCCTTGTCATGCGGCGTGAGCATGTGTAACTTAGATCTTAATGTCCGATTGTACATCATGATTGCTGGTGTCTGACCTGTGGTTGCGTGCGGAGTGTTCCTGTAAGTTAACAAGAAATTATTGAGATTCTTGTCCAAGTCTTTAGAGTCATTCCACATCTTTTTCATAGAATTCTTGAACGATTGTACCAGTCTCTCTGCGATGCTATTAGATTTAGGGTGGTATGTCGGTGTTGGAATGTGTCTTATTCCGTTTTGCTTGAAGAAAACTCTGAGTTCCTCTGAAGTAAACTGGGGTCCGTTGTCTGATACAACGACACATGGTAACCCAGTTCTAGCAAATATGTGTCTTAGAACTGTAATCAGTGCTCCTGTTTTCGTTGAGTTCATCTTAACAATGTCAGGCCACTTAGAGTAGGCGTCCTGAACAAGTAACCACATGTGTCCCTGGAATAGTCCTGCCAAGTCCATGTGGATGCGCTGGTATGGTCCAGTGGGTCGGCACCACGGATGGTCTGTTAAAGCTGGTGCTGATCTACCAAACTTGTTACAGTCCACACATGTCTTTACCATGTTCTCCAAGTCTTGATTAAGATTAGGCCACCAAACATAGCTCCTCGCAATTGTCTTCATACCGCTAACCCCTGAGTGAGTCAAGTGCAACATGTCTAACACTGACTGCCTCAGTTTCACAGGTATTACCACTCGATTTCCCCAGATCAAGCATCCTTGCTCCGTAGATAGTTCGGTCTTCCTTTTCTGAAATTGTTTTGTAGGCGCTGGCAGCCTAGAAAGTACATCACAATTGGCATGATCTTTGGTAGGTCTGTACTTGATACTATACTGATAACTCATTAAGGTCAATCCATATCGAGTTATTCTAGCTGTTGCCATCTCTGGCAGTTTCTTCTTTGGGTCAAAAATAAATGTTAATGGCTTGTGGTCCGTCACTAACTCAAAATGATTTCCCCACAAATACACATGAAATCTTGTGACCGCCCATACTATAGCTAGGGCTTCACGATCAATCTGACTGTAGTTCTTCTCGGCTTTCGATAAAGTTCGTGATATGTATTCGATCGGTCTTTCTCCTTCTTTGTCCACGTGACTCAACACCGCTCCAAGTCCTTTGCTGCTGGCATCAGTGTCAAGCTTCAACTTCTTGTTAGGATCATACAGCGTCAACACTGCATCAGAACAGAGCATGTCTTTTAACTCTTTGAATGCTACTTCCTCCTTTTTGGTCCATTTCCATGGTGATGATCTCAAACTATCTAGAGGTTCAATAACTGAACTTAAGTTGGGCAGGTATCTACGATAGTAGTTGACCGCACCCAGAAATGAAATTAGTTCGGCCAGGTTAGTCGGTGCTGGAGCTGCTTTCAAATCTGCCACCTTGGATTTTACTGGCTGTATTCCATGTCTTGATATCTGATGACCTAAATAAACAACTGAGTCCTGAAAAAACTTGGACTTAGCCCGGTTACACCGAAATCCTCGTTCCTGCAATCGTCGTATTACCTCTTGAAGATTCTGCAAGTGCTCCCGGTCATCTTTTCCTGATATCAAAATATCATTGATCCTACAGCAAACTTTATCAATGTTTTTCAACGTGTTGTCCATGGTCTCCTGAAAGATACCGCTACTACTTGACACACCGTAGGGTAATCTATTCCATTGAAATAGACCGAGATGAGTGTTTATCACTGTAAGCTTCTTGTCCTTCTCTCTGACTTTCACATGATTGTAAGCAGACTTCACATCGATAACTGAAAACTTCTGTCCTCCAACCATTGAATTAAAGCATTCTTCAGTACTCGGTAAAGGATACATCTTTGTCTCTAGGTGCTTGTTGAGGGTACTTTTGTAGTCACCGCATATCCTTAACTTTGGCCCACGCTCGACAACTACTATAGGCGTAGCCCAGGTACTGCTTTCAACTTTCTCCAAGATATTCTGATCAACCAAGGACATCAACTCATTCTTGACTTTCTCTCGTTGAGAATACGGCAAGTTCCTAGCCTTTAAGAATACGGGTTGAGCTTCTTCTTTCAGCGTGAATTTAGCTTCGACTCCACTGATCTGTCCAATTCCAGGTTTGAATATCTTGTCGTGTTTTAAACTTTCCACGTAATCCGTGATCATCTTCTCAGTTACTATTCCTTCAGAGACTTGGTTGAGAGGGTATCCTTCTTCACTCTGAAGGTCTTTGTCAATCTTTGGCTCTTCGTCTTTACCAATCTTTGACTCTTCGTCTTTGTCAACAACAGACATTACACAAGACGACTCGCCTCTCATCTCACCTAAAACATCTACTGAACATTGAGAATTACATGACTGATCACACTTCACTACACTACTACATAACTTACTACATTTAGAGGGTACATTAGACACAACACGGTCTTTTCCATTGAATAGCTGTTCCAACCAATCGTAACCACAGAAAACTTGAATCCAAGTTCTGCCAAAGAGAGTCGGAAACGGTTCCTCCACAACATACAGCTCCATGTTCTCTCTACATTTACCTTTAAAATTCACTTTAACTTTCATCTTCCCGAGTATAGACTTAATCTCGCCGTTGGCAACTTTCAGAGTGTTCTTCGTCTTTACCAGTGCATCATACACAACTGACGAACTCACACGAGCACTCTCACACAAAGCTTGCACCGTTGTTACGCTCACACTACTGTCACTATCAAACTCCATATTCAAAAAAATATCATCATTAATAGTAACTTTAACCATTGGTTTCTGACAAAAAACATTATCAATTCCAATTTCAAGTGGTTCAATAACATTACCTGACACCGTAACGTTACCTGACACATTCACGTGTCTCACTGACCACTCCAAAGAACTATTGACATCTGGACTCTGACTCTCAATCTCACTCTGCTCTTCAACATTGTGAGTTTTCTTCACAACATAACAGTTCTTCTTGATATGTCCAGTTTTCTTACATTTGAAACATTTAGTTTTGCAGTCGTCCTTAGTGTGTCCACTCAATGTACATCTCGTACATACAACTGAAGCTTTGAATTTGTTCGGCTCCCGTCTCTCCCATGATACTCTGTTAACATCACTCTCGCTCATGTTCATCTGCGCTGCTTCCTCCTCTGTCTTCTCAGCAGCTAAAGCTAACTCTACCGCTCTCTCAAAAGTTAAGTTGGCTTCCCCTAACAGCCTTTTCTTCATTTTCACACTCTTCATTCCAGCAATAAATTGATCAAGCATTCTCTCCTGAAAGTTCTCAAAGTCACAAAAGGTTGCGATTGTTTTCAGTTTGTTGATGTATTGACCAACTGTCTCGTTCACTTGTTTGCAGGAAGAAAACTTATATCTCTGAAGATGTATTGCAGGTTGCGGCATCAAGTGATCTACTAACCTTTTCTTCAGGGTGTCATAGGTGCACAATCTCACTTCATCTGGGTTGCTCAAACTCTTGATTAGCCCATACATGCCACTGTCCAAGTACGATAGGAAAACTGCGGTATTTCCTTGAGTCGCATTCTGCGCATCCGTCCTTGCTGTTTCCACTGCTGCAGCGTTGCTGTTGTCATTAACGAGTTCCGGTATTGCTGGTACCGCTCTGAATAGCTGATTGGCTTGAGCGAACAACTCAAACCTCTCAAACCATGTTCTGCAATCTGCATCTGATGTTAAGAGTTCCAACTGTCCAATAATCCTCGTCGCCATTGTAACGTCTTAGCCGTGGTACAAGAGAAACAGGGAAATCGTGAATCAGGATCTAAACCTAGACCCTACAAAATATAATAGGTGATCAGTTATCAGTCTAAATATAAAATATAGTATCAATTTATAACAACTGGCACGCAATTGCATGTGAATGATGCGAAACCGACACGGAACATTTCTGTAGTCCGTAATTTGATAAACAGAAACGTGTAAAGACAAATGAGTTAGTGTAACTTGTTTGGCGGAACTTGATGCGTTGGTCAGGAACTGAAATAAAAGTGGATCGGAAATTTAAGCACAAACGTTGTGTTTTTCATTTACAATGTAAACAGACTCGTGATGAAACCAAAGGAATTCCGTGACCAGAAATATAAGAATGGAGCGAAAGCTCATCCTATCTGAGCTTTCGCAATTTACTACATTCTTATATTTCTGGTGACGTAATGAGGGGCCGGTTAGGAAATCCTAACCGTCCAGCCATGCTCGTTATTCCACTGCTGACAGCATGTTGTCCTGTCCTTTTTTTTGCAAACTGAGTTGTGGCCTGTGCGACTGTCTACAGTATAAACGCTTACCTCTTAGTCTAATATGATACCTTTATTATGTTATTGTACAACTACAATGAACGTGGTGTTTTAGACAAAAGAAACATTGATGCTGAAACGGTGCCCAATCCTCAATTGAAATTAAGGCAAGCTTGGCATACAGAAAATAATTTCAAATTGTTTAATATCTAATTTAAATGTAAGATTGAGTACAGAATGGAACAGTGTGAGAGAGGACACAGTCGTTACAGTGACCTGTTCACGGCCAAACCGCTACGTTCTGATTTGCGAAAAGAAAGTCACGTGTCAATTTGTTGAGGGATGGTCAATAAAACCAGAATGTCGAAAATGCAGTTATAAATATAATAGGAAGTCTGGTAATGACAGCTGATAAAATCATGCGACCTAATAGTGCATCACCGTTACATAAACGTCCCCAAGAATTTATGACAGCTGACAAATAGTATAAACAGAGTTTAAGGATTGTACGGAAAAGTAGTTAAGGCAAATTGCTTTTCGTTAAAAGTCTTTATAATAATATAATTGATTGATTAATGTGTATTTCATTCTTTGTAACTCATTTTGCTCGCTTACGCGACCATCTGGGAACTTTAAATTATATAACTTAAAGTTGCCAGATGATTAATTTAGTCATTAGTATTCTACAGCTGCACCAAATAGTTAACAAATAACCGTTATTATCAGTTAATAAAAGATAAGCTTTCAATACGACGTAATATGACCATCTTGATCTTGAAAAAGACATCAATAATTTAAAACGAGTTTTGCAATGATAAGTAATACTAATAGTTCACAGTATCTAAAGATTCTTATTTCGCAATTTTACCTTCACTTCATTTTGATTGTTATTATTTGGATCAAACGCTTAAAACCATGAGCATTAATAATAAGATTGCATTCAAAAGTTTCAAGTAATGGTTATCAATACACATGACGTACTATCACCATTTTGATTATGAAAGAGACATTGATCAGACAAAGTTTAACACCCTTTCTCCTACAGATCTTAATATTAGCACTGACGAAAAACGGAAAATCAGTCCCTGTCTAAATGAAAATCAGTCCCTGTCTAAATGAAAATCGAGGTCCAGATCAGGAAGACCATGTATCTTGTTAAAAACAGAAAACATTCTTAATATAAAGGAGCATGTAAATAACGCGTCATTAGACAGTTGTTAAAAAAGTTAGTACAGTTTGCCAAATCACAGCCTCAGGCAGCCTACGCTTGTTTTACGCACGGTGTCCGCCACAAATTTACATATTTTATGAGGACACTAGATATCAGCTCTTATATGGGCCCTCTTGACA